GTGGTAGTGTTTATTATTTCCTTGTACTGGTTAGGAAAAGGTCATATTTAAGTACTCTGGAAATTGCTTTGTAGACAAGAAATGATAGTAAGATGAAATGGTTACTTTAAATGTTCTTGCCTGTTTTTTCCCAACTGTTGGACAAGTCCCTAGCTCTGGATCTTTGTATTTAACATGAATGAGCAACACTGTAATACGTGTACTTTTTTGTTCCTGACACCACTGTGGTAGTTTATTTTTAATGTATAAAGTTACCACCCTTGAAGAATTCCCAAATTTATAGCTACTGAACACAGGAGGTCTTCTTCCAAATAGCAGAAATCGCTACAATATATCAACAATTCCTGGCATTATTCCTTGCCTGATTAGTTATTGATACAGTTCATGGTGGTAGTTAAGATTTTATAAGCCCTCACTGGGTCAGGATCCACTGATGTGAGATTGCTTTTACACCTGTGTCTCAGAACAGGTTGGCTGGCCTGCCTCTTCAGTCCGAGGACTGATGGTACTCCCAGAGCTTAGATCAGGCTCCTTTTTAGATACGTGTTTATTATAAAAATGCAGACATTAATGGCAATATGAACCAATGGTATTCTCCTGTTCTCCAACTGACTGTCTACCTGTAAGCACTCAGTCTGGGATCTGCTGCATGCGCCACGCATAACTCTTCAAGGAAGCTACTCCATCTGTGTCCCCCCACCCTGTCCCATCCAGGTTGGCTGAAACCCACCCCACAAGTCCAGACATGTACAGGTTCTGCCCCCAGGAAGAGCTACATGAGCTTCAGCAACTGTGATCTCTAGAGGAGCAGAGGTACTGTTTCAACTTGTGATCACACCTTCACCTTTATGCTACTGAGACTGAAGTCTGAGGACTGAGTGAGACGTTTGCCAGATTTTCAGTGCAACAGACTGAAATTCAAATTTAGCATGTAGACATTTGAGGAGAGTCAGGGGACATGTCTGTTTTATCAGCGACACAATATTTCAAATCAGGAAAAAGTGCTGAGATAATTGTCATGCATTAACAGACCAAAGAAATAATATACTCTGGGTGCAGAAAATTGCCCCCTTTCCCTTTTCCACTATCATATTTTTCTGCCTCAGCATGGCAATGCAGATGACTAAGACAAGATATCTTCTGTGAAAATGCCCAGATGGGAAATTACCCATGCAAAACTCATGGTTAAAGCAGGAAATAAATGCCACAATAAATTGTTATATATGCGGACTCAGAACTTAAACCAGGTACGTCCTTCTAGCAACAGTTAAAAAGACAAAACAGGGAAACAAGAAAACTCAAATGCTTTGTCTCTCATAATTTTCTATTCCATATCTATTGCCGTAAGTGTGTCAAGGCCAGCACTATCTGGACAGAAATAAAAGCTAACATTTCTAAAAAGCTGCCTTCTGCAGCTGCCATGAATCACAAACATTACTGAACTGTACGTATGCTATAGTTTTGGTAAATAGCCATATATCTACTGGGTTTTTTTAAATGGTGCAGCACTGAGGATACAAAAACCTGTTAGGGCTAATTAATAGCTGTGATTCCAAAGGTCTCTCAGACTATGCTGAATAGCAACTGCAGATTTGATGACGCCACTCATGGAAAGCTCTTGGCAAGTATTTTTCTTTTGCCAAGAAATACAAATTATAAACGGACTCTTTCTTCCAACCACATTTTAAAAAGCCTGAATTAGCAAATACAATTCAGTTACCTGTCATGTTGCAGTAAACTTTCAAAGGTCCCAGTGCCCCACTGCCATCTGGATCTATCCAGTAGTAATTTGAAGTTTTGCCCAAGTGTTTGTATGCTTCACAAGAGAGTTCATAAATAGCTGGAATTAAATAAAACACAGCAATAAGGACCTTCATATCCTGGAGAAAAAAAAAGTTATTATAATAAACTGACTATTTATTTATCAAGAACTATACCTTTGACATTAAAGTAACATCACTGATATCCATAGAAAACAAAGCAGTTTTCCAAAAGATACAGAATTGATTAAAAGCTTGAGGCATGCAATTAAATATTTTGGCATGTGAGAGAAAGCCAGAATAGGAAGAGAATTCCAACAACTTGAGGATGGGGAGGAACAAACAAACATTTTCAAGAGTATATTTAAATTGTTTTTGAAAATACTTTGGTTCAGAATTTTTGTTTATACACTGGTTCAAGTTTTACACCATAAACAGAGACACTTCTGTTGATCCAACACACTTTTCCCTTTAAGTTTCTTTCAAAACATAAGCTAAAAACATGATGAGTTTTCTCTCTCCAAATTTTAGAATTTTGCAACTTTTATTAAAACTCAGAGTAATATCGAGATTCAAAACTGTGAAATTGCTCACTGCATGTAATACCTATCTCTGCACAACTCTGCAGTTACTCTCTTACGTATCTATACAACTAATACTGTGTTCCAGCAAGGTCTAAAATTTCACAATATTTGCTGGAAGTAGTTTAATTGATTTAGCAGGGGTTTCAGTTTCAATTTCTCCCTGACCCCTCTGTACTGGTTTCTATTTCAAGTCATAAAAATGCTTGTTAAATTGAGTTATAATGAATAGCTCAGACATAGTAAGTACTGTAGATAGAAGCTTTTTTAGTAATGTTCATATTTTCTTTGAAATGTAAAACTATAACCAAGCTATGTGTACTACACATGAATAAATTAAAGTATTTTGGAAAAACTGGCAATTTATATTGATTGGTATATGTACTTAGGGTTGGCAATTTATTTAAAAAGTTTTCTATGTATATATTTTTAAATAATGTGTAATGCTTTGTTTTCCAAAGACCATATGGTACAGCTTTTTTTTGTTTGGAATCATAAATCAGCTGCTAAAAAAAATGAAATATTTTTTTAACCAGACTTCATATCCAGTCTAAAATTTTATCTAATTTGTTGGCAATTCTTGCAAGTGACCTTCTTGCTAAGACTGGCTTTATTACAAATTTCCGTAAGGAAGAGCTGTTTTGCTGGGCTCTGATGTAGAATGACTGATCACACAGACACACTTAAAGGCCTCTAACCAACTATTAAGACACTAGAAGGAAAGTTGAGCTAAAAAAGTCTCCAATTCTGCTGTGGCATGAATACAAAGCTGGACTGTTACCTATGTATGAAGAGAACCTCCTTTTTGATGCTACAGGAGAAAGAATCTCCTGTAAAGTTGTATGTGTGCATTACAGGGTCTAAAGTCAATTTTATACAAGAAGTAGACAGTTCAACTAAATTGTGAAATATTCCAAGCCATCTCCTCTTTCTCCCCAAACTAAGGTCAACAGATTCTTTCATTATTAAAGAAATTGTATGCCCTTTCTTCAGACATTTTCATGCAGATTTCATAAGGAATTCATAACCAATTTTATTCAGAAATGTTTTTCTAAGTCTCTACATACTACCCAAACGTAATCACAAAATACCAACTCTGTTAATTTATACTTGTGATATCAAGTCACAGATTTTGACAGGTCAAGTCAAGAAAATGACAAATACTGTTTATTATCACCCAGAAGTTTGGTGTTTTCATTCTCTAAATCCTTTTAGAACACCAAAGGAATTCTGTCTTTCTAGTATTCAGACCTTTATGTAGGGTCAGATGACATTTTCTCTAAGTTTGCTTCTTTCAAGAAGAAAGGCTAATCTTTGTACTGAGGTACTACCACAATTATATTAGAAATATTAGAAAAAAAAATTAGAGAGTGTTAAACGGAAGACAAAACTAAGTTACAGTTTTTAATCAGACACTCATTTATCCCTACTGAGCATTCTTCCAGAAAATTATAGTGTTTAGATACAACACCATTCCTTCTATTCTTCTGGAATAGGACGAATAGAAAGTGATAGGTTAGTTAGCATTACAGCAGGAAACAGGATGTTTTTTAGTAAGTCAGCATTTGTTAAGCTTCAACATTATGTTGAACACCAAACAACAGAAATTAAGATCATTCTTTAAATAAAGACAAAAGAGGGGTATAATCTAAATAAATTCAACTTGTTAGAAGTGTTTTTATGAGAGCATGATAGGTTTTGACAGGTTTTATCTACATGTAGATGCATACTTAAAGACCTTAAAAATGGGAATAAACAAAAATTAAAGGGTAGGTCCTAGTGCAAGGAGCAGTCATGTACAAATCATATAGCAGGAGTATAGAAATAAAATGGAGAAATTAAGTTGGTATAATGACAAAATAATTGGCAATTAATATTCAATAGTAAACAGCAAACAATAATGTTCTGGTGTATGAAGACATCTGATGACAGAAAGAGACCTTGTTGTTGACTTGAGATGGAAAAGGGTAGCCACCAACATAAACAGCAGAATAACAGTGGCAAGCATGAGGCAGAGAAAGCAACTGTGAAGGGGAGGAGAGTATGACATAATGCCAAGATGCCAAAGAAGTGGAAGATGATGTAAAAAGACAACCTAAAGTCACTGTCAAAGTCCGTGCTTCTTTTAAATAGGTTTATGAAATGCTGCAAAAAAGATCAATAGTGTGTAAGACAGAAGAACAGGTAAAATTAGAAACTAAGAAACCCAAAGAAAATGCAGAATAGATGAAAGGACAAACATTTAAGGAACAAGAAAATGAAAACAGAATACAGAAAGGAAGAGACCATGACAGAATCACAACACCTTAAATTAGAAAATTGATAAAGTTAACAGAGTCAAGGAAGGACAAATCAGCAAAATGCAAGATTTGAATATAAAGTCTATAATGTTCACATGCAAATAAGGTGAAAAGTTTGCAGGTATATGCATACAGAGAAGGGGCAGACAGAGAGAGAGAAGGGTCTCTTAGTGCTATTTCTTCTGGAAAATAGGGGGAAGAAATAACAAAAGGACCGAAGACAATAGGCACTAGATTTCTGCTTTTCAAGCCAGTAGAAATACAATGCCAAAAAAGCATATTTCCTTTCTCATAGTACATTTATTCTTCAGCGACTTCTGAATAGTATTAAACCCCCAAAATCTTTCAAGCTAAAGATAAAACTTAGCTGTGCCCTGATGTGCAGACTGGCTATTTCTAGCATAATAGATCCAGTTGTTGATGGGGTTCTTTTATGTTACTTACATTCTTTCTGAGAAGAGGGGGGAAAAATATCAGCCTATGAATAGCTTCCTCACTCTTAACAGGTTTTCATATTGCTTCAAAATCTGTCTACAAGAATTAAGAGGTGAAAACCTAGTCAGAAACATGATCCAAAGTCCTAAGAATCCAGTAAAAAGTATGTATGAAAAGAATCAAGACCAGAAAGAGAATCAAAAAGATGGTATAGCCTTTTTGAAGTTTAAGAATAACCTGAATAATACAGATCAAACCGAGACCCTCAAATCAATTTCATGATATAATTTGAAAGAAATTAGCTGTGTTTCAACATGAAGTTAAAAAAATAACCAAAAAATCCACCACAAATCACACATACAAATAATAATAATAAAATTTCAAAAATAATTAAAAATAATCTCATTTTTACTGTTGGTGTGACACATCAAGCTTCTTTAAGCTTCTTAGTCTGGGCAGAAAATCCAGGCATTTTAAGCAGCTGACAAAAGCAACTCTGAACACATTTTTGATGTTCACCATTGACTAAGCTAATCGTCACAACAGGGGCCTTAAGCATGGCTTGAGGGAAGAAGGTTCTCTTCTGATAAAAGCTTGACTAGGGAAGCAGAGTATGGGAAAACAAGTCAGACTGAAACAAAAACTAACAAAAAACCGTGTAGCCACACAGACCTTAACATCATTTCCATCGCTGCATTTCTTCATGGGTTCTTTTCCACTCCCAGAACTGCTTCCCTGAATCCCAAAGGGGAGGTTTCATGGATGGGGGAAGACAACACATTTCCAAGTTCTTAAACGTTTTAAACATATAAGGAAAGTCGTTCAGAAACTAGTTTATAGATTTTTTTCCAGCTCCAGGCTGACAGCTGAAAGATGGAGTCAGCTTCTTTTCGCGCTCACAGCACTGGGAGCAGCCATCAGTGCCGGACCATCCCCATGGAAGTTCGGGTGAGCGACAGAACTTGGCTTTCAGGGGTTTTTTTCCCCCAAATCCAGGATACACGTGGCGAGAGGTGCATCCCACTTGGGAGCATCTGGAGCCGCAGCCTCAGTGGGAAATTTCAAGGCGCAGGGGGATCTGTGCACCCATCAAGGTCCAACAAAGGGGGTAGGATGAGTCACCTGGGCGTGTTCTGGAAGTCTGTGCAGTTAGTCGTCAAAATAAATGTGGGGTCCAGACAGAGGTCCCACACAGAGTGCCAGAGCCAGGCCCTAGTGGAAGGTGTCAGAGACAACACCTGTGTTTAGATACAAACAGGAGAATCATCTGCTCAGCATGGTGGCTGAGGTGAAGGGGGAAGTCAGAAGACTAAGGACTGTAAGAGAGTGTGAAAGGGAGATAGACTGGTGGAGCCAGACCCTACCATCCCTGAGGGAAAGGCAGCAGGTGCAGCCTCCAAAAGAAGCAGGGGATCCCCATCCCTCTTGTCACCTGGAAAAAGAAGGGGTCCTAAGAGACATGGGGGAAATGGAAACAGTGGGAGGAGAGGCTGACACACCAGAAGGCTGAGGTGCCATTCAGTGAGACCTGCACAGGCTGAAAAGTTGGGCAGGGAGAAATTTAATGAAATATAGCATGGGCAAGTGTAGAGTTTGCACCTGAGGAAGAACAATCCCATGTACCAGTACAGGCTGGGGACTGACCTGTTGGAGAGCAGTGTAGGGGAAAGGGACCTGGTGGACAGGAGGATGACCGTGAGCCAGCAATGTGCCCTTGTGGCCAGGAAGGCCAATGGCATCCTGGGATGTATTAGAAGGGGTGTG